TGCCGCGTTCCCGATCCCCTTGCTGCGAAAGTGGTGGGGTAGTGCCTGGGCCCGTCCCCCGCGTACGTGGAGAGGGGCGATGGGCTCCTTGTCGGGGATGCACATGACCCTTGTGGGTCTGGGTTGGGAGATGCCTGAGTTTAACTGGCTGATCGACGATCTCGGGAACTCTCACGAGCTCTTATTCACCTCTCCCGCCCCCCGTAGGAAACACCTTCGAGCTGCGGTCCGTAGGAGACTCGAGCGCTACCTGGCGCACAAGTACTGTTTCGGACATGACCGCCTCTGCTACGATGTGGTCTCCACTTTCTTGGCCTCCTCCAAGTTTACCCCCCTTCAAAAAGGGGTTCTGAGGAGCTGTGCGTGCGACGGCATTTGGGCTCGAATGAAGGCCCGTGGCTGCGGGCATCAGTTTCCTGCAGAATGCGAGCTATGCGGTGCGCCCACCGACTCGATTTTCCACCGCCTGTGGATGCGTCCGAAGTTGCAAGCTCACCGTGCCGAGTTGGTTGGCCAGGAACTCCTAGATTCCCGGTTCGATTACGTGACTTCGTCGGACAAGTTTTTTGTGGTTACCCATGGGGCTCCCCCTTCACCCTGGAGACCTTCACCCTCCTCCTCGACGCATGGACGACGATGTGCTTAACATAACATGGCATTCCCCCCCCCCCCCCCCCCCAGCCGGAATCGTTTGAAGGTGTGGTTTTCGTAGACGGCTCGTGTTCGAGAAGAGTTATTAAAGAGCTGTCCAGAGCCTCCTGGGGAGTCGCCCCGTACAGTCCCGACCAGGAGCTGCTGGCCACAGCCTCGGGGCCCGTCTGGGCCCACCTCCCTCAGACGCCCCAGGCTGGGGAGTTTTGTGCCTTTTTGGCGGGGGTCCAATTGATATCGGGTCCCTCGTCTATTGCTTCCGACTGCGAGAATGTTGTTAAACTTTTTGGGGCCGACCGATCCAGGCAATTCAGCGATAAAGGCGTGTGTCCAGGTCATCTGTTGCAAGCTAGGGCTGAGCCAGGATTTAAGCATGTTTCGCTTGTTTCGCATGTCAGATCCCACCGATCGGTCGACGACGTTTCGATTTCCCCGCAGCTTCGCTTCTGGAGGGAAGGGAATGACCAGACCGATGGCCTGGCCAAGGCCGCCCTCGCGAGGCACCCATCAGATTTGAAGCTAGAGGAATCGCTCACCACCGACATCAATTTTGCTAGAGCTTATTGTACCCTGGCGATGCACCTTCCCCCCCACTTCGCTCCTCTCCGTGAGTGCGGTGAAGTAGAGTACGTCCGCCCGCCGAAGCCAGCGAGAGCTGGCAAAGGGATGCATGTCTGGCGACACTTTGGAACTGTTTGAAAGTGCCTGCTTTGTCTAAGAGCGCGACGTTGCCCCTGGCCTCGGAAGCCCCCCCTGGAGGACCGCCCAGGCACGAGGGAGCTGCCTCTACAACGGATCAGCAGTTTAGGGCACTCCTGCATCGGCTTGGCATGTTCTGACGGGGCTATTTTTATTCTGTGTAGTTCGTGCAAATCCCATTCTTCTCTCGGGAGATTTAGAGGCCTGCTGGTTATTTGCCCCTCTCGCCCATCGCCCTTTGGAAGGAGGGTGTGGTCGGAGATCTCCAAGGGGCGCCACCCCAAAAGACCTTCCGTTGGCGTCGACTGCCCAGTCTCCAGCTCGGACTTAGCCCGCCTGCCCCGGGGCCCCTGCAGGCACCTCCCTCCCCCCTCGGGGCCCCCGCAGGACACAGATTCTGAGGGGGAGGCCCACCTGCAGGATATGGCCTCGGAGCTTCTTAGCGCATTGCAGAAGCGAGATACCCACCAAGAGCAGCGGCGGGCCAATCCTACCTTTTTGGCGAGGAGACGCCAGGATCAGTCTGACAGTTCTGATTAGTTTAATGATTCAAGTTTTTGCCCTCTTTCTTCTTTCCAGCACGGCCCGATGCGACTGACCCTTTTGACAGGCATCCGTGCTATACCCCACATCTGGGGCGAGGCCATCAGTCGTCCTGGCGCTCCCTGCACCAGGGGCTGGTGTCCTCGTCGTCCGTGCGTGGGTGGTCGAATATTATTTTATGCGCGTGCCCTTCGGCCTTTCTGCGTTTCGTTTATGCCTCGGCTCTACATTCGGGGCGAGGCTATGTCCTCCAGGAGCATCCTGCACCTGGGGCAGGCCTCGTCGTCCTTGTGTGGATCTCTCTTGTTCCGTTTTAGTTCGGTTCGTGTTCGCACGTGTGTCAGGCACCCCGCATCAGGGGGAAGGTGCGCGCACATCCTGAGGGCTTTCCTTCAGCGGAGCACGGGGGTAAGTTTATCCCGACAGTCGCTCGAATTTGGCGTCTGCAGCGGCCAGGTGAGTCTTCCCTGGCCCCAACGCCTAGGCCCTCCTCATCTTTCGTGTGGTCGTGTGTGCACGCGTTCGTCTCGCGTACTGGCTCCCCGCCTTAGTGGTATGCGCGACGCTCGAGGAGGTGTCTACTATCTCGGGAGTACGGGGGCTAATCGCCCCGTCGGTCTCTCGTCCTTTTGGGGTGTTGCTGTGGACTGGAGCTCAGGCTCCTAGCCCCAACGCCGTCGCAGCCCAGCATCCTGGCTGATGTCCGCCCGTCCTTTTGTGCAGTCGAGAGCTGGCGGCCCGTGCTGCTTTTCCACTTGCAGGATCCTGCAGGTGGCCTTGGCTCCCCGCCTAACTCTGGTGGGGATAATATTCTGCAGGCTGTCACCGCCCCAGTCCCTGCAGGAAAATTCGTTGGGGTTGAAACGAGAAAACAAAGTGAGGGGTGGCACCGAATTTCAGAAATGTTGCAAATCCCATGTGTTTTTGGACCCTGACCCCGCGGATCTGCGCGAGGGGTGGCACCGAATTTCAGAAATGTGGCATATCCCATGTGTTTTTGGACCCTGACCCCGCGGATCTGCGTGAGGGGTGGCACCGAATTTCAGAAATTTGGCAAATCCCATGTGTTTTTGGGCCCTGACCCCGCGGATCTGCGTGAGGAGTGGCACCGAATTTCAGAAATGTGGCAAATCCCCTGTGTTTTTGGACCCTGACCCCGCGGATCTGTGTGAGGGGTGTCGATTTCGAGCCCCCCCAGCAATTCAGACAACGCGCCCAGGAGGTGCTAAATATCTGGTTTGGGCCTCCCCCCCCTCGCGCGGTCAATCAACTAGTTACAGTAACCAGCAAGAAGCAGAACTGCAACACTGGAAACTACAAGTTACAACTGGTACAGGAAACTGCGAATCCCGCGCCTACAGCCTGGTGGCCCCACAAGGGGGCCGGCGGATTTTCATCAAGCGCTTACACATGAAATCTAGTAAGTTTTGAACTTTGGATTTTCGCTTCCTCCTTCTCTCCTCTCTCCTCCGCCTCCTCCTGCTCTTCTTTTCTTTCTCTCTATATATCTGTTTATTTCTCCTTCTTCTCGCCCCCTGGCGCCCTGAACTGAGACAAACCATTGTTGATGATGTCTCAATCGACACAAATCATTGTTGAGGATGTATCATACAGGACCAAAGTCCTCTTGATATCTCTTTATGCTGGCTCTGGCGGGCAGCTTTTATTATCTCCCCGAAAACCCCGAGCTTTATTATCTCTGGGGGGTTATTCTCGTGGGTTCATGGTTACGTGGAGGAGGAGGAGGAGGAGGAGGAGGAGGAGGAGGAGGAGGGGGAGGCGGAGGCGGAGGCGGAGGCGGAGGCGGAAGAGGGGAGAACTAGTGCGGAGGAGGGGGAGGAAGGAGAAGGGATGCTGGCCGCGCGATCGCGGCAGCAGACCTAGCTCGGGGCACGGCCCTCACACGGGAGGGGCGCGCATGCTGCTGGGGCCCCCGAAGGGCCCGCCGATCGGTGCATGCAAGCAGTGGGGAGGTCTGGGGGGCCTGGCCTCGCAGGCAGGGGGAGGGAGGAGGGCGGGCGCGTGTGCTGCGACGCTCGCATCGCTGAAACCCTGGCGCTCGCTGGCCCCGACAGCCGCCGGAGGGCCGTGGCGGCAGGCGCCGCGGAGCAGGATCGGGGGGGCAGGAAAAGACGCACCCGCTGCTCGCTGCTCGGGGCCAGGGCTCTGCGCCGCCGCCTTGGAGCCGGGCGGCCGCAGGGGCGCAGAACTGCGGGGCCTCCTCCGCGCTCGCGCGCCCGGCGCCGACCGCGCGGCCGCGCTGGCCAGCGTGCGCCAACGGCTGGCGGTGGCGGCGGCGCGCGGCACCGCGGCCATACTGCTGAGCGCTGCTGGGCCGCGGGCCCGGCCATGGCAGTCGCCGACCCAAAGCGGCGGGCCGCGGCCGCTGAGGCCGCCCTCCTCCCCCTCTCCTCCTCGTCCTCCCTCTCCTTCCCTCCTGTGATCCCAGTGGCCGCCGCGTTGCCGCTTCGCTTGCGTCAGTCCCTCTCCCCTCGTCTGCTCCTTCCTCGCTCCTTGCCTCTGGCGGGTGCGCGAACGCCTAAGGGGGGTCGGGTGGCTCAGGCTCCCCGGCCACGCGCCCGCCTTCCTCCACCTGCGGGTTCTCTCCTTGCTCCCTCCCCCTCCTTCCTCCTTGACCGCGCCTGGAGAGCGTTTGGCCCGTCGAAGGCGGACGGGGGACGCCCGAGCGCCAGCTGGCTCCGAAGGAGGGTCGTGCTTTGCCGATCCTGACACGGGGATTGGCCCGAGCTGTTGGCGTGGTAGCGAGACCTGGGGCCATAACCCGAAAGCCTGGGGGTCCCCCTGCGCGAAAGGGTTGGGGACCCACTTGGGTGCCTCACGGCAGAGAGAGAGAGAGAGAGAGAGCAGGGAGGAGGGAGGGAGGAGGGGGAGAGGGAGGGAGGGAGGGAGGGAGGAAGGGAGAAGGGGGGGGGGGAGGGGGAGGAGGAGGAGAGCAGGAGGATGAGGAGGAGTAAGAGGAGCAGCAGGAGGAGGAGGAGAGGAGGAGGAGGAGGGGGAGGAGGAGGAGGAGGAGGAGGAGGGAGGAGGAATGGAGGGAGGAGGAATGGAGGGAGGTGGGGGGGAGGACAATAAGGGCACCGCCGGAGGTATCCCACAGAGTTCGGGTGCTATTGGCGGGTGCCTACAACATGCACGCGAAGTGACGGCAGACGGTTCAACGCGCGAAAGTGGAGGCCACTTGCCGTCCCCGCGCATTTCTTCCAAGTTCTTCGATGCTGTCTTCCTCCTCCTTTTTTGCTCATCCGTTTCTTCATTACACTCCTCCTCCCCCTCCTCCTCCTCCTCCTCCTCCTCCTCCTCCTCCTCCTCCTCCTCCTCCTCCTTCTGGTCCTCCTCCCTCATGCTTGTTCCTCGATCATCATTGTTCACTGTCGCACCACCGCGCGTCTTGGCAATCATGGTTGTCCGTACGTTTCCTGTGAGACTTAAGCTTGAACGCTTTATCGGTGCACAGATGGAGGGCAGGTTGGCTGAAGACCAAGGTTACCGCTTCCGTGTCGCACTCATTCTGATGGAACGTGTTCAACAGCTATGCGGATGCACGGTGCGCATATCTCAAAGCATGTCAGACCCGTTGGCGTCGCGCATATTCACACGCAGGTCCAAAGCTACCCGGGCGTAGGGCGGTTTGTGTTTTTCTACTCGGTGTCATCGTTAGATAATTCTTCTACGCTAGGACTACGACGCCTCAGGTTCAGCAGCGGGTAGTATCCGGATGGAGGGCGGCCAGTTTGCAAAACAAATGTTTCGCCTGGCATGCATTGGGGCTTTATCTTGCCTTCACGTTGTTTAACGACAAACTGATGGGAGGCGGCTCTCTTTTTCACAGTTGGGCTCTCGCATGGATGCAGGCCTCCAGGGCGTTCGTGTGTTCAACCGGGCGATCCCCGTTCAACAGCGCTTGCAGGGAGTCATAGGGGAGAGGGGCTTGGGACGGGAACGTGTCTTTTTACAAGTGTTCACACGCATGTTGGGTTTACTCTGATTCTCCTCGTCTTGCCCCCCCCACACGCACACACACACACACACACACACACACACACACACACACGCACACACCACACCATCCACCCACCCAACCAGCCAACGCTCCCCTCCTTCCTTGGCTCCTTCCCCATACCCACTGTCGCTTCTCCCCGTCGTTGTCGCCCTCCTCCTTTACCTCTGCCTTTGTCCATCCCTTCTCTCCCCTTCCTCCATCCCTCCCCTCTTCTCCTCTCGCCCTCAACCGTCTTCCTCCTTCCTCCTCTTGCTCCTTCCTCTTAGTCCTCCCCCAATTTAATCCCTCCCGCCTCTCTTCCTCCGCCTCCCCTTTCTTCTGCTTGGCGCGGAGGCACGACAAGTGGGCGGAGCACAGCGTGATCAGGGCACGTGCGCGCCGAGCTTAGACAGACCGTGGCCCGCCTGCCAGGAGAAGACGTGTCGAGCGACGGGGAGATGGTAGACGAATTGGGTGGGGCAGAGGAGGAGGCGCAGGAGGAGGAGGAGAAGGAGGAGGAGGAGAAGTACGACGACGAAGGACGCAGGATGAGAACGAGGAGAAGGAGGAGGAGGAGGAGGACGAGGAGAAGGAGGAGGAGGAGGACGTGGAGGCGAAGGGAGAAGGGAGGGGCAGGAAGAGGAGCAGCAGCGGCAGGAGGATGAACAGGAGGAGAAGCTCGAGGTGGAGGAGGTGGGAGAGTAGTGCAGATACATAGGCAGAAGCGCAAGGACGACGTGTGGAACCAAGAGGAGAAGAGGACTCTGGGATCTGACGTTGGCCTCGCGCGCGCCTGCGTAGGGGCACGAGGGCAACTTTTTGTTCGTCGGCGGCGAGGCGGAGTTGGCTGCACCAGCGACAGAGCTGGACGGGGGCACCGAGAGGCGAGCTGGCCAGCAGGCGAGGGTGGGAAGAGGGCAGCGCAGGCGGCCGCGGAGGCCGCTCGGAGGCGGAAGGGCTCTCGCCGGAGTGCTGGCACGGCCAGCGCCGTCAGCGGGAACCAGCCGGACTCCGGATCCGCTCCTCGGCGCCCCGGGCGCGTGCTGTCCGCCCCGACAGCGTGCGGCCCCCTCGGCCTCGGCCGCTCCCGTCCAACACCTCCCGCACCGACCAGGTGCCCCCTTGACTCGGCCCGCATTGTCCACCCCGGCAGCGCACGGCCCCGCGGCCTCGGCCACAGCATTGGCGCAGGCGCGTCCTCTTGCCGCCCTCCCGGGGCAGCGCGCAGGCGTCCGCAGCAGCACGGTGCGCGGGCTGGCTGCCGCTCGCCTGCGGGGGTCACCCTGCAGGCGGGGCGCTCCTCGCCCCCGCCCCTCCCCCCCCCCTGACTCCGGATCCGCCCTACTCTGGGGAAGTTCGTAAGCAGGGCTTGGCATTTCCGCCTTCTTTTTCAGGCCCCGCGGATGCCACTTTCCGCCCTACTGTTCTGTTGCTGTTTCCGCCCTGCTTCTGTGGGTTTCCGCCCTACTGTTATGTTGGGCGCAGAGATGTCCGCCCTACTTTTTCGGCTTCTTATAGGTGGATTTCCGACGCAACTTTACGTTGGACAAAAAGCCAAAGTAGGGCGGATCTGGAGTCAGGGCATGGCGGCCGCTGGGCCGCGGCGCCGGGGCACCCGACGGGGCCCGGCGCGGGCGAGGCAAGCAGACGGAGCCCCAGACCCCCGACGTCATGATTTTTTCATGACGCGACCCCCAGAGGTCCAGATCCATTCCCCGGGACCAGTTTTACATCCCGAGTCGTTTTTTGACGGTCCCGAGGTCCGGCAAGGACCCTCAGAGGCCGAAAATAGCGAAAAAAACTCCCGTCGTGATTTTTTCATGACTCGAGGAGGTCTGGGGCAGCGGCGCCGTCGAGGTGGCACGCGAGGTGCGAGGCCAGGGGGGCGCGGGCCGCGGGCCGCCCGGGCGGGAGGCACGCGGCGAGGCTCGGCAGGCACGCGTGCAGTCTCGAGGTTGGGCTGCACCCGGCAGCGTGGCCAGGCCCGCGGAAGGGGGGCCGGCGGCAGGGCCACCCACCATCCCGCTGCCGCGCACTCCCCTGTGCTGGCCGGGGTCGTGGGGGCCCTCCCCTCCCCCCCTAATTCGGTGCAGGTGACCTGTCCTGGGCACGGCGCGTCGGCGCCCGCTCGCTCGGTCAGCGCCTGTCGAACTAACACAAAAACCAGGCCCAGGTGCCCCGGCCCCGTGGGGAGGCTGCGAGCTGCGGCAGCCTCGCGAGCGCCACGGCGGCGCGCGGAGGGCACCGGCGTGGCCCTGGGGCCTCAGAGGCCTGGCCTGGTGGGCTTGTCGTGTCGGAGCGGCGCTGCCTGGACTGGTCGTTCTTGGGCCAGGTGGGGTCCGCGCTCCTCCTGCCTTTCCCGGGCGTGTCGTGACCTCTCCCTTTGCCCTTTGCCGCTTTCCTCTGTAGCTCATTGCGCCGCAACTTCCCTTGCCAGACAGCGTTCCAGTCCACGTGGAATTCTTGTGCTCTGCAGACCCTGCGGATGTCGAAATCCTCACTGCACATCTGGAGCAGCAGGTCCTGGCCGAAGGCGTCGTGCCCGTACGGGTCGCAGGTACCTCTTCCTGGTGCGAGGTCCCTAGCGTCGAGGAGAGCGTTCCAGCCTTCGACGAACATGGCCCCACAGCCCCTCTTCAGCCTGTGGACGACCTCTGGCCATGTCTCCCGGATGTTGGTCCTGTAGTTCCACGTGCGGTGCCAGTGGATCACCCGACGAGGCTTGATGCAGAGCGCGTTCCTGGGGGTCGTGATGGCGGGTGTATCCAGGATCGGGTTGCGGGGCTCTGTGCCACTGGGGCGCTTCTGGGTCGGCACGACTTGGGCGCGCCGCAGAGGAGGAGCCTCCTCCCCCTCGATGGCCGTCCCCGGGGTTGGCGCGCGCCGTCCCGGTCTGCCGAGGGCGACCGTGCCCTTGCGCTGCCGTCCTGGGTGTCCTGCGCGCTCGGCCTTCGGCAGGTTCGGCTTCGCCGGCCCTTTCTGCAACTAGCTTTCGGTGCGGTGGTTGCTGCGGCTGGGCAGGCTGGCTGATGGGAGGGCTCCGAGTCGGGGCTGCTGGCCGCTGCCTGGGCGTGATGAGCGGCGTGATGGTCTAGGTGAGGTTCGCTGCTGGGGTTTGCCTGTGGGTCCTGGCCCCTGGTAGAGGGGACAGGAGGCAGCCACCAACGACGACTGCGACTGCAGAGGAGGAGGGAAGAGGAGGAGGAGGAGGGGGAGGAGGAGGAGGAGGAGGAGGAGGAGGAGGGGAAGATTGCGGAAAAGGTGAGTAACAGGACTGAGGGGGGAACGGCGAGTGGAGAGGAGAGGAGACGAAGGGCAGCATGCGGATCAGGAGGACATCCTTCTCTTCTTGCTGCTCAGAATCTTCCTCCCTCCGTCCTCCCTCTTCGCCTTGCCGTCCTTCCTCCCTGACCCCTGCTGCAGCCATCCGGCCTCATTCGTCCCCCCTCCTCCCGTGTCCTCCTTCTTGTGCTTATTCGTCCGCGTCCTTCATGGTTGCCCTTCGGCTTTCCTCCGCATCGTCCCTCCTCTCGTCCACCGTCTCGCCTTCCCATTGTCGCTCCTCCTCCTGCTGTCTCCTCTTGCTGCCTCTCTGTCTGCCTGTCTGCCTCTCTTTCTTTCTCTCTCTCTCTCTCTCTCTCTCTCCTTCTGTATGTATAGATGCCTTTGGTTTGTTTGTACCTATGTCCGGAAGAGGTGCGCTCTCGACCCGCGAATCAAACATTGTTTGTATCTCTGTATGTATATATACATATGTATATACATGTGTATATATATATATATATATATATATATCGATACACACTGACCTCCCGACCGCCGCCATACGACTTGGTCCCTCACTCGGCGTATGATCGGGCTGGGGCGGCCATGGCGCGGGGGGGTCGTTCGTAAGCTCTCCGCGGCAGGGGCTTCCAGGGCCTGTCAGTGCGCCTCACGGGGCCGTTCGGGGGCCTCGTTTGGTGCCGAGGGGGGGGGTATGGTCGCCCCCCCCTCAGCACCCCCAAACCACAGAGGTCACAAGACCTTCATGGATCGTTCGCTCGTCGTCGTCATACTCCTCCTCCTCCTCCTCCTCCTCCTTCTCCGCCTTTCCTTCTCCCGACCATTCGTCGTCACAAGAAGTATGGTCGCCCGACCATTCGTCGTCACAACAAGTCACAAAACCTTCACTGATCGTTCGCTCGTCGTCGTCATACTCCTCCTCCTCCTCCTTCTCCTCCTTTCCTTCTCCCGACCATTCGTCGTCACAAGAAGTATGGTCGCCCGACCATTCGTCGTCACAAGAAGTCACAAAACCTTCACTGATCGTTCGCTCGTCGTCGTCATACTCCTTCTCCTCCTCCTCCTCCTCCTTCTCCTCCTTTCCTTATCCTCGATCGCCCTCAAAACCAAGGAAAACGCGACAACCAGAGAAGCAACCAAGAAACACAAAACACAACAACAAACACATGATTTCTGGAAAACCTCTGGGGAGGGGGGGGCGGCCAAGGTTCTCCAGGAATCATCGTGTTTAGGGTTTTGTTTTTTTTTTGGGGGGGTCACATGCTTTCGCTGTGTCGCTTTTCGCAGGCGTCGGTGCGCTTTCGGAAAGGAAGGGGAGGAGGAAGAGGAGTGGAGAAGAGAAGTATCGATGCCAGAGTCTTCTTGCGCGACAAGTGAAAGCAGGGGCACCGATATGCCGGTGCACCCTTATACATGTATATATATATATATGTATATATATATATATAGATGTACACACATACGTATCGACATGGCTATTGGTTACGAGTGTTATATATATATATATGTACACGTATACACATATAAGCAACAAACAAATCAGCAACGACAACAACAACATAAACACACAAACGCTCACACATACACGCACACCGACAGCAAGGCCCTCGCCCAAACCGTGAACAGAAATTTAAGGAGGATATCTAAGCAACGTGTACATCCCGTTCAGCAGAGATGTATCAGCGGCCGAAATCTGTGAGGTCATATTATAAACCTGGATGCCGAGGCCCGCCTGGGTAGCATTGGAGAGGATGCTCGCGAGCGTCGCCCCAGTTTTCATTCACACGAGATCCGTGCCGCCCTCCCTAGTCTGTTCCGACTGTGGCTCCACGCTGTCCTCCAGAGGTCTCATCCTTCTCGGGGATAGCTGCATGCGATTCGGGCGCTCGCGTCAGACAGCGCTGGTTTCGCGAAGGTTGGGCCCGAGAGGTACCGTCTTTTTTTTTCAGGAGGGAAAGAAACACACAGACACAATTAATCGTCGATTCCCCCGAACATATCAGGAGATATGGGAAGTGGGGGGAAGACAACAACTCAGAACATATGGGGAAATATGGGGAATCTGGTTATTTGTGTTTATTCATTTGTGTGTCCCAGTTCCCCTTCATTTT